AAGAAAATCCAATAAATGAGAAACATCTTCCTTTGAAGAAAGATAACTACAGACTGTTAGAAAGAGAACTATACCAGAACTGATGATTTCAAGAAAGTAAACACTTCCCTACACACGCCAACATTCTGCCAGTGTGCTGAGATAACCCTAAGAAAAACACTACCTGAGCTGGAAGTTAATACAATCATTAAAAGAGGTCTAAGACCGTGTGGAACACAACACTTTTAAAACCATTACTGGTTAAATGGAGATGGAAAAACATCTCACCAGGCTGGCTTTTTAACCCGTAAGATCAGTTTTTAAAATAGACATCCTTGAGGTATATTTCTTCAACCATGACAGTCATAAACCCAACTTAGGAGGACCATAACAGTGGTCTTCAGACCCTCTCATCCAATCACATCTGACATTTTACCAGGGAAGAAGACAGGAAGAGGGTCAATACAGTATATCCTGATAATGTGCTTCTTCAAATTTATCAAGTATTCAACAAACAAGGAACAAGAAAAATAAGGGGGAGGGAGGGAAACAACCCGTTCATGTCACCTTTGGTAGAAAAGGAAATCAAAACAAAAGAGCAACACATCTTTCTCCAGTCACTGCAGTGGAAACAGCTGAGTTTAGAAGGCTCTCAGTACAATCGCAAAGTCAAAGGGCCTCATTCCCTTCAAATACCTGATGTTTCAATTTGACCTCTAGGGTATTCCCCTAAAAAGTTCTCTTTGCAGACATTCAAATATAGATAAAATATTTTTCTCTTGAAGAGAAAAAGAGACCTAAAGGTCCTCATTTTTGCAGTTAAGTCCTATAATGGGTCAAATTAACCAGTAGTTTCATAATACTGAAAAATGTGGTAGATGGAGGTATGTATAATTCTATTGAGGGGAGGGGAAGGGGAGCCAGATTGGTTAAGAACTACTTGCATTTATTTTTAAAGGTTAATCTTTTCTCCTGAGAGACATCAGGTCCAGATTTATGAAAAGATCTGGTCTAGATCGAGAGGTAGCTTTCCCACTTCTGCCTACTCCCCACTAGATTACAACAATTCTTTTCAAGCTCTGTTTTTGCTAAAAGTGAGGTAGATAAGACTTTTATCACAAGTGAGGTAGAAACCAAACAAAGGCAATCAATGTGGACGGAGTGCTGTGCCTGTGCCCTGGCCCACAGGAAGCCAACGAGAAGCCAGAGAAAGCTGCAGGACTAGGAAGACCTGACCCTATGCAATCACTGTTGCATGAGTGTGACTTTTATACAGGCCCAGACTGTTGAAAACTCAGTAAGAGGGAGGTCCTAAATAAATACCCTAAGTACTTTTTGGCACCACTGGATTAAAAAAAAACAAAACAGAAACGGGGGAGGAAAAAAAAAAAAACCAAGCCTAAAACTTTGGCATATCTTTCACTATCTACCAGAACACAGCAATTCTGAGATCTTCCAAATAGGAAAACAACACATAACAAACAGAATTCTGCTGCTTCAAGCCTGAAAGATTTCTCTCCTGGAATTAAGCTTTGGCTTAAAACAGACTGAGGTCAACCCACCTCAAGCTATTCTCTCAAAGCTCCATCACAAAGTGTCTTCGTTCTGGCAACTTCTTTGGCCCAACACATAATTGAGAATCTGTTTGGGGTACCCTTCTATGTTTCCCAAATAAGTTAAACTTACAAGGGCATTGATTGAGGAGTTAGTAGTGCACTTGCGATTCAGCCCAGGCCGCTGGGCCCAGCTCACTCAGGGATCTCCTGGCAGCCTCAACAAAGCACAGGTGGAGACCAGATTTGCTCCAAACTGTACCAGGAAATCAATCTTTTGCTTCTTTGTTTTTAAAGACCACCCTTTCGAAATGTTAAGTAGGTGCCAACCTATGGACCATTTAGATTTATTTTAACATCTCAATAGCCAAACCTATATAGCCCTAATGCCAATGGGCACCTCAAAACACACACCGCTACCACCAGACCACTAGTTCTACATGGAAAACCACCATGCAATCATCATTCACTCCCTAGAAACATTTTCAGCTCTGCAGCCAAGGACTTTACTGTTTTCACCTTGTTGAAGACAATCCTCTTTGACCCAATTCTTACCCACCTCACAATGGGCGGGAGTAACACATTTGAATGCAGGTATTAGACCAGCCTTACACTGGAGAGCACCAAACTTTGGCCTTTATCATCTTGCTTTGTTTGGGAACATTCCACCTATACCAATAAACACTATCCAAAGTGCTTAGCACCAATCCCTAGGGGCCAGAAGTCAATGGTGGGCAACCGCAAACAGCTACTTGCTTTAAAAACAAGTTTCCCAAATGTGACTAATGTTTCTCAGATGCTAGTCACTCACCCTTCTGGGTGCAAAAAAGGTTAAGGGGAGCCCCACATTCGAGGATGCAGAGGCAGCATCTCTCACATACACAATTGCTCTAAGCCTGCATGCACACTGGTCCCTCTACTGATTATTAAAGACCTGACCTCATCATTGCAGCCATGGAGGTGAAACTTTGGCTTACAACCAAACCCACAGCAAAACGTTAAGGGTTTTTTGGTTTTTTTTTTTTCCTATCGCTGCTTACCAAGAATATTTCTCATTTACTTAACAGTATTCCCCCTACAGAAGGGGAAATTAGGAACCAAGGAGGGAAGACAACCCTGGGAAGAAAGTGGATTAAAAGAACAGAACATCAAAGTGGAAGAAATCTACTAAAAAAAACTTTGTCCAGCCACAACCAAACTTAGGATTCTGAGAATATTTTTTAATCAAGATCCATTTCTTCACTTAAAAACCAAAAGCAAAAAACTTAGAAGCGTGTAAAGGCAGTTGTCTGATATCTAAGGGTGACTTGCTGGCCAGTGAGGAGTAGGAAGAAAGTCACCTCTGAGTTACTCCACTCCTTACCAAAGAACTTGGAACACAGGGGCAAAATAAAAGGAATTGGGAACTGGAACTTAAGATCCTAAAAGAAAAGATGCTGTGAGGCTCTATCTACCCAGAAATCAGGAAGCTGGGGGGCAGTTTTGGGATCTCTGGTTGCATGGTTATGTGAGATGAGTTGGTCCCCGTTCCATTGTGGTCACTCAGAAAAGGAAGAAACTTTGAAACTTACAGAGCTAAAGCAAGAAACAAGGAAGGTCAAACTGGTAAACTAAATAAATGCCCACAAGATGGGGTAGATAAGTAATCTGATGATTTCAAGCAAGAGGTCTCCCTGGTATGCCACTGGAGTGCAGGAATGCCTCGTTTTCTGAGGACTGCTAATCCAGCATCTGCTCTTATTTTGGTATTGGGGGGAAGGAGGATATAGGAATATAGGACCTACTCGGGGCTCTAACAGGAATATAGGAGCTATTCGGGGTTCTAAAACAGACAATACTTAAAAGCATGAAGTTTGTACCCAAGCCCAGCTTACAGCAAACTAATCCTGTAAAGTGACAAATGCCAACCACCCCCTTAGTTGTGAGGTAGAATTCTGGCTTATACATTTTCATTCTTTGGTACCGAATAACAGGTTTAAGCAGAGGTATGATGTCCTACACATTTCAGGTTAGGATGATTTGGGTTCACAAATCCTTTACATTCAAAGCCTTGGGTAGGGGGTGGAGGTGGGGGGAGAGCTTCATGTTAATCATGAGGTACAACAGCACAACTCGGGTACAGGATCCTGCTCAGGGGACCCGAGCAGAGGGTATAGGAACATGCTGTTCCTACTTACTTAAGGTTCAAATATTCTATTTCCCTGAACTTCCAAAGCAGGAAAAAAAAAAAAAAAAATTTGTGCTTTTAAAACAAAAAGTTTATTCCTTAACCTACTGAGTCTTCTTAGAAAAAGCAATTCCTAGCATTGTAGTACATTCACTTCAGGGTCAGGTTCAGCCCTGCCCCACCTGAATAGTCAGTCCCTAGTTTTTTTTTGTTTTTTTTTTTGGGGGGGGGGGGGGGGGGGTGCCTTGCATCTTGAGTACCCTCTACTTGCTCTTGCAGCAAGTCAGTCCATGTCTGAAAACTCTCTCTCCAAGATGAGTTTCCTTCCTTCTACCTAACTCTTCATATCCAATAAGGTAAGAACACTTTTAAGAATACTTGTAATCAAGAGTCCTGAGCTACATCTATTACTTAGAAGTGTAAGAGGGGAGGGGAGAGACCTTTCTTGGGATGTGGTAAGTCATTTCCATTTCCAGCTTCACTACTGGGGTGCAAGATGGCTTTAAAACACACCACACACACACACACACACACACACACACACACACACACACACACTCTCCTCCCTTACAAAAAATAAAATTTAAACACCCTAAAATATAAATGGTCTGCTTTTCTTGGCTAGCAAGCCACAGCCACCTCTCCTAGGGATAAGAAAACTGAGGGAAGATGTTAGACACACTTGAGTTATTAATAAAAAAGAACAGGAAAGTCTTCTGTTGCAGCATTTAAAAAAAAAAAAATGAAAGAAAAGAAAAAGGACAATTTTCCCCAAAAGATCAAACCACACAACACAATCTAACCTCACAGGAATAATATTCTCAAAAACACAAATGCTCTATGAATTCAAATCCCACTTTTCCAAGTTTTAGTTTCTGTCTTTAGTAGTTTTTGTGTTTCCTTGGCTCAATCTACAGAATGCACTCACCACACACATCCAATGCCCTCGCTACCAGGCTTGTGCACACCTTGCCCGTGCGTTGAAGAGGGAATGTTAATATCACAGAGGAGGGAAGAGGGCCTGCTGGAGGACATGCAAAGATTCATGAGGTAGATAGAAATTATCATTTCACAGGCTCAATCCCTGCACAAAAGGTAAGTACATTCATCTGTAAAAAAATAAAGATGAGGTAGGACTTAAGTAATGTTGTACTTTTCTTGTTCTCTTTAAAAAAAAGAAAAAAAGAAAAAGAATCCCTGAGACTGCTTCTTCTTTGAAATTCAAACGGAGACCACACATACACACACACACACATACACACACAAACACAACCCAAACACAGAAACCCAGAAAGATGCGCTTAGAAAATGAGGATTCGATTGTTGCCAAAGTCTACCACGACAATCATGCCATCGGGAGTGACTGCGATGCCAGACGGGCGATCCATCTGCCCAAAGCCGCTGCCTTGAGCACCAAACTTGCACAAGAAGCTACCGTTGGCTTCAAACATCTGCACACGGTGGTTTCTGGAATCAGCCACAATGATACGCCCCTCCTGGTCCACGGCCACACCTTGTGGGCGCAAGAACTGCCCATTGCCAGTGCCCTCCGAGCCCAGAAAACGTGCGGATTGGCAGTCAGGGTGAATGACCAGGAGGCGGTGGTTGTTGAAGTCGGTGACCACCAGGTGACCTTCATGGTTGAAGGCCACACCCCGTGGGGAGTCAAAGTGCTTCCAGAGAGCCCCCTCGAAGCCATACTTATTCAAGAAAACCCCATCGGGCCCGAAGAGCTGGATGCGGTGATTCCGCGTATCTGACACGAGGATCTTTCCCTCAGAATTGACTGCCACATCCCAAGGGTAGTTGAACTGCCCGTTTTTGGTTCCTTTCTCACCAAACTTGAGGAGGAACTGACCCTCAAAGGTGAAGATCTGGATGCGATGATTGTCCTTGTCAGCCACCACGATCCTGCGTGAAGCATCACAGGCCACCCCAGCTGGTCGGTCGAACTGCCCAGGCCGGGAGCCCAGGGTGCCAAATTTGTGGTGGAAGGAGCCACAAGGCTTGAACACCTGGATGCGATTATTGCTGCGGTCGGCCACGATGATATAGCCTTCCTTATCCACACTCACTCCCCAAGGGCGGCAGAGCTTGCCATCACTGTCACCCTCACTGCCAAAGCTCAGGCCCGGCAGCCCGATGCCCACATAGCTGCGGCCAGACTTGACCACTACCTTAAAGGGGCTGTTCTCAATATGTTGGTTGCACAGGGTCACAGACACCAGGTGCTCACCTTCTAGCTGGGGCCGGTAGCTCACCAAGTAAGTCCCGTTCTGCTGATCACTCACCTCTGCTCCAAACAGATTGCCATCAGGACCCAAGACCACAGCTGACATTAGATCACCTCCTGAGAGGCGTGGCTCACCATCATGGTCATAACCAATGACAGTGAAGGAGGCCACCTTACCCTGGAGGGCCCGCTTGAGGCCATCACCAGTAGCCTTAGTAAGTGGGGCAAAGGCCCCACTGCTAACAAAGCCAAAGGACTTGATGGCAAGGTACAGTGTCTGGTCAGGGGGTGTGAACATGACCCGGTCATCTTCCTGGGGCTGCAGGAGGCTCCGCAGGGTCTTCAGCTCCTGCACCTGGGCTAGCATCCGGTCTCGAGCCAGCAGGACATCCAGTGCCCGACCTTCCTCCAGGACCTGCTGGACGGCACTGATGGTACTTTCCAGCTTGTTGAGGTTTTGCCGCAGCTTCTCCACCTGCAGGTACAGAGACTTGGCCTTCACCTGGCGGATCTTCTCTACCTGATGGAAAAGTTGAGAGAACACAGACTTAGGAGCAGAGAACGGAAACTCATCCATCCATCCAATCAGAAAGCTCTATACTGAGAGGCTAAGGGATGGCCACAAAAATGTGACCTGTACTCTTTTTTTTTTAATTGTAAAGATACTATACAGAGGGTTACAGTTACATGAGTAAGGTAATGAGTACACTTCCTATTGAGCATTGTTACTCCCTCCATTGTTTTCCCCCTACCATCCCTCCCCTCCCTACCTTCCCAGAGGTTTTTTTTTTTTTTTAAATTGTGATTAAGTGATTACATAATTTCCCGAATTTCACAGTCTTGTGGAATAATGATGCTCATTTAAAGTCACAAGTTCATTCTAACTTTCCTGGAGCAAATCGTCTATCACAGTCTACAACATATAACGGTGTACACGTTGTAACAGTGTACACATGTTATACACCATACATGATCAGCAGCATGGGGATATTTAGTAGTGGTTCGACCAGATGAGTGGGAGTTCTTTGTTTCTTAAGTCCTGTTAGTTTTGTCATATCACCTAACATTTTGGATTTAGCATCCACTTATCAGGGAGACCATGTACCGTTTGTCTCTTTGCTCTTGGCTTACCTCGCTCAACATGATTCCTTCTAGCTCCATCCATTTCCCTGCAAATGCCATTATTTTGTCATTTCTAATGGCTGCATAATATTCCATTGTATATAGATACCACAATTTTTGGATCCATTCATCTGTGGTGGGGCATCTAGGTTGTTTCCATATCCTAGCTATTGTAAACAGTGCTGCAATAAACATGGAGGTGCATGTGTCCTTGTATATTGGTTCCTGTTGTTCAGGGTAGATGCCTAGAAGTGGTATGACTGGGTCGTAAGGGAGGTCAATCTTTAGCTTTCTAAGGACCCTCCAAACTACTTTCCAAAGTGGTTGTATAAGTGTACATTCCCACCAGCAGTGTAATAGGGTTCCTCTTTCTCCACATCCCCTCCAGCATTTGTCGTTGGCTGATTTGTGGATGTGGGACATTCTGACTGGGGTGAGGTGGTATCTCAGGGTTGTCTTTATTTACATTTCCTTCACCACCAGGGATGATGAACATTTCCTCATGTGTTTCTTTGCCATTTTTATTTCTTCATTTGAGAAGTCCCTCTTTAGTTCCCTTGCCCATTTAGTAATTGGTTTGTTAGGTTTGGGAGGGATTAGTTTCTTGAGTTCCCTGTATATACAGGATGTTAACCCCTTGTCTGATATATTGCTGGTAAATATTTTTTCCCAATTAGTTGGTTGTCTTTCTAGCTTGGTTGCAATAGATTTAGCTGTGCAGAAACTTTTTATTTTAAGGTAGTCCCATTTGTTGAGTCTCTCTCCAATTTGCTGTGACCCTGGAACTCTGTTCAGGAAGTTCCTTCCTGTGCCTATTAGTTCAAGTGTGACTCTTAAAGAACAGCAATTTTTTTAAAATGGCATCTCTTATTCCAGTCCTGCCCTCCCACCCCCCCCCCCCCAAAAAAATGAGGAGAAATGGCTACTAAAACCACTGGAAGAATCCAGGCACTGGTGGTTCATGCCTGTAATCCCAGCTACTCAGGAGACTGAAGTCTGAGGATCACAGTCTAAAGCCAGTCCCTGCAGGAAGTCTGTGAGACTCTTATCTCCAATTAACCTCCAAAAAATCCAGAAGTGGAACTGTAGCTCAAAGTGGTAGAGTGCTAGCCTTGAGCAAAAAGCTTAAAGACAGTGCCCATGAACAATGCCAACCCCAAACAAACATAAAACCCACACTGATAAAATATACAGGACACTAAAGATTCACACACAGTGAATCTGAAGGAGGATACTGTTAGTAGAACACAAAGGCACAATGCCTCTGTGACTCTTGAAATCTGAGGGTCAAGGCCCAAAGCCAACCCAGGCAGGAAAGTCCAGGAGATTCTTATTTCCAAAAAGCAGGAAGTGGAGCTGTTACTCAAGTGGTAGAGTATCAGCTTTGAGTGAAAAACTAAGAGACAACACCCAGGCCCAGAGTTCAATTCCCAGTACTAGTATTCTCCAAATAAATAAAACTACTAGAAGAACTTTTTTTTTTTTTTGAGGGGGGGGGGGGGGGGGGTGTCCGGTCATGGGGCCTGAACTCTAGGCCTGGGCGCTGACCTTCAGCTCTTCACCTCAAGGATAGTGCTCTACCACTTGAGCCACAGCGCCACTTCCAGCTTTTTTCTTCTTGCTTATGTGGTGCTGAGGAATCGAACCCAGGGCCTCATGCATAAAGGCAAGTGCTCTACCACTGAGCCACCTTCCCAGCCCCTAGAAGAAACTTTTGATGACTGTGAACTGAGGCTTAACTACTGGTATGCTATCAAGATTGTGTGCTGATTGACAATCATATGGCTATGAAAGAGACTGTCTTTGTTCAGAGGAAATAAACAATACTCAGTGGTAAAGAGGTGGTGTTTCCAGATTTCTAGCTTACATTCAAGTTATAGCATATATATTTGGCACTTGGGACCTGCAAGTTCTACAGTCTTGAATTCAACCACTTGTGCTTAGGAAATATTTAGGAAATACCACTATGCCTATACAAAACGTGGAGACACTTCCACTGGTGCCTGGCACAGTTGTTATTTTTAATAGTTAATTATTACAATTACTGTAGGTTAGGAATTAAAGAGAAATGAAGGTCAAAGTTGTGCCAGGCATTATAGAAACAACAACCACCAACAGAAGACATGATTCTTGCTGATAACAGTGGCTTACTTTGTAGTCCTAGCTATTCAGGAGGCTGAGATCTGAGGATCATGGGTTAAAGGCAGCCCAGGCAGGAATGCCAGGAGATTCTTATCTCTTGCTAGTTTTGAGCAAAAAAAGCTCACAGACCACCTCTCCCCCCAAAGAAAGAAAGAAAGAGGGAGAGAGAGAGAGAGAAAGAAAGAGAGAGAAAGAAAGAGAGAAGATAGAAAGAAAGAGAAAGAGAGAAAGAGAGAGAAAGAAAGAAAGAAAGAAAGAAAGAAAGAAAGAAAGAAAGAAAGAAAGAAAGAAAGAAAGAAAGAAAGAAAGAAAGAAAGAAAGAAAGAAAGAAAGAAAGAAAGAAAGAAAGAAAGAGAGGCCAGGCACAGGTGGCTCACACCTGTAATCCTAACTACTCAGGAGGCTGAGATCTAAGGATCATGGTTCAAAAGCTAGCCTGGAAAGGAAAGTCTGTGAAACTCTTATCTCCAATAAACCACCAGAAAACTGGAAGTGGCGCTGTGGCTCAAGTGGTAGACCGCTAGCCTTGAGCTGAAGCCTTGAGCTGAAGAGCGCAGGGACAGCGCCCCAGGCCCAGAGTTCAAGCCTTATGACCAATGAAAGAAAAAAAGAAAGAAGTGGCTCTAATTCTAAATGATCTACCCACTGTGAGGGAACATTACCCAATTCACAGTTTTTGTAAAGGACCATGATTTCTCAATGTTCTCCTCATCTGAAAGCCAGTCTAAGTCACAGCAAAGGCACAGTGTTCTAGGGCTTAGATGCTAATCTCATCTTCCCTAGAGGAATGGTAATGATTTTGACCCATTCCTGTTTTATCTTCTGTTCACTGTGAAACCTTGGTATGTGTGAGCAGAAGGTTTGGGATGGGTTTATATAAAAGAACTCTTGAGCTTTTGGACCTATACCCCAGATCAAACCTTTACCTTTAATTCTAACCCATGAAACTAGGGAGCTGTAGCGACACTAGTAGTAAGATGGAGGGTATGCTGGAAACAAGAATGAAGAGGTATTTCCAGATACATAAAACTGAATAGCTTAGCAAGTTGAAAACTGAATCTAGACCCTCATAGTTTAATAATGTTCAATACCCAGAGGGGAAATGAAATGACATGATCACAAAGACACCTGGCAGAGCTGGCTGGGAAATTCTCATCTGAAACAGAAAACGTCAGAGAGGGAATGTCTGTTACAGGACAGGCAGCAAGGAACCATTCTAAAACATGAAAGGCTAGCTCTTTTTTCTTTTTTTTGGTCAGTTGTGGTGCTTGAACTCAAGGCCTGGGGGGTGCTGTCCTTGAGCTCTTTGAATCAAAGCTAGCACTTTGAGCCAAATCACCATGTCCAGTTTCCTGGTGGCTAAGTCTCATGGACTTTCCTGCCTGGGACTGGCTTCAAATCAAAATCCTCAGATCTCAGCCTCCTGAGTAACTAGGATTACAGGCATGAGCCACCATCACCCGTCTCCTTGAGGATGATTCCTTAGGTAAGAAAAAGCAACTTATTGTTAAAAGTGTGGATTGGTTCTTCTCCCAAACATACTTTCCTGAACACTTGATTTCCAGGTGTTCTCTGAAAGAGAAGCAACCATCTGAGAGAGGTGGGGCTGCTCACAGCGGGAGTATATATAGTTAAATACATACTTTGTGTGGAACCCCACACACAAAGGCCTTTTTCATCAGGAAATCCAGAAGAGCAAGTTTGGGGCAGAGCTCGCTACACAGCTCTCAGGTTGCAAGAAGCCTCTCCAGTTATAATTAACATTTGTGGGTGGCTTGAGATTGGCAGACCTTGGGGACATCTGACTGTTTGAAAACTATGCCATGCCCAACAAGGCACTCAAAAATAAATAAATAAAAATTAATTAATTAATTATATGTATGTATATATGTAAAATATATACTGCATTGAGTCTTGCTAACCTGCCTACACCACACACTGGCTGTTCTTCGCAAGAGAGAGAGAAGGGGGGAGAGAGAGAGAGGGAGAGAGAGAGAGGGCGCCTTCTCTAAGCAGCAGCCATGCGTGTGTTCAGAGAATGTAATTAGAATGAAAGCAGTGGTGTAGGGTCCTGGCCTGCTGGTAGACTTAACTCTCCAACTTCCTGAATGGGGATATAAAGTCAGAATAGCTGGGCTGCTGACTTGGGTGGGGTGGCAGACTTTCCAGCTGGTTTTTATCTAAACAACACACCAGTGTGTTCAGCACCCTTTCCTGCTCCAACAGGAAGACAGGGCATAAACTCATTGCCCTCACAAGTAGAAAACTGGCTTCCACAGGAGTCAGGAAGTGCAGCCAGCCAGGACACCAAAAATAAGGACGTTTCCTACAAGCCTGCCTTTCCTAACACAGTTTGATTGTTCTCCCTTCTTTCTGCCTCCTTTTGAGTGTGTGCAATAGAAAACCTGAGCCTCCTTCCAGTCTAGGCTACCCAAGTAGTTCAGAAAAGGCTCCCTGTTGCTTTATTGAGTGGAAAGCACTCCCAATATTCCAGGGGCGGCCTGAACAGCCCCTCCTACCCAGAGTCTTTCTGGGAAATTAGAAAATGCTCGGGACTTAAGAGCTTAGGTCAAGGATCTGAAACGAGGAAACCTGCTGGCATTTTCAGAAACACGCTGTGGGGTTGGGGAGCTGGGTGAGGAGGGCATGCTTCCATGTTACCTTCCACAGCAGCTCGCACTCCCGCTCCTCCAGGGCCTTCTTGTGCCTGGCAGTCACAGCTTTGACTTCTGACTGTACCACTTTCACCTTCATCTCCACCTGTTCTGCCACAGTCTGGGCCTGCTCGATGCTCAGCTGGAAAAGCAAAAACAGTGTTGAGGCTTTCACACCTTCAATCTGCAATCAGACCCCACAAGGCTCACATTCGTGCCACTTGGTCCAAACCTTCACAAGTGGATGCTGAAGGAGTTACTGGCAAAGGCTGGATTTCTTTGTATGAGAAGTGGCGCCTACAGAGTGAAATGTCAGACTATTAAAGAGATACTCTGAAACAGTGGAGCTAGTATGGCTGGGTGACTGCCCAATAATGGGACTGAGGATCAGTTTAAAACCTGCAACTCAGGGCACACAAACAATCTCCTCCCTTCCTAGAGAAAATCCTGCATGCCAATACATCCCTCCTGAGACAGTACCCCAACAGGTTGGTGGTTACCCCATCATACTCCTATCTAGTCAGCAGCAGCTTAACTTACCTGGACATACGCCAACAGCCAGTACACCTGGGAGTACCACTTGATCTACTAAGAAACTGGACCCTATGATTAGACCCATCCACACACCACCACAAAGACTACACCCTATACTAATAGATTGAATAAATCAGTTTAATCAGGCATATTATCATTCATAAAAAATTAATCCAGACAAGGCCCCATGTTACCATTAATGTTACATGATGTGTCTTGTAAAACCACAAGGATTTGTTTTAGATACTAAGGTACTAACTAGGGAATTCTGATCTACTGGCTAGTGGAACAACTTATTTTAGAGTAGATGATCACAACTAGGACACAGGCTAGGAAATCAAGAAGATACGCAATTAGTGTTTGCCTTGGACTGAAGGGGTCCCTGGAATGTGGAACTATCAATGATAAAACCCAAAAACAGTCCTGGGCTCATGAGCTGTTTGTGGAGTCAGGTAATTCAGGTTCAAATACAGCTCCTACTAGCTAAAGGCTTTTTTGCACATGGTCCTAATCTTTTCCATCTTGGGTAAGAGCCAATGTGAAGGAAAGGCAAGAAAATAGAAAGCAGGAGCTGAACACAGCTCATAGCACAGAATAAAGCATGCTGTTAGTAAGAGTCTTGGTTGACAAACACAGCTGGAACTCAACCACTGTCTGGCCTGTTTAGTGGGTGTCACACCAAGATGGATCATATACCTGGCTAGGCCAAAGTCACAATGGTTCCCTTACTCTGTATATAAATTGTGCTAATGTACATGTAACCAATTTTACCATTAGGAACATTTTGTACGTTCAGTAGGCAACCAGCTGGGCACTGGTGGCTCATGCCTGTAATCCTAGCTATTCAGGAAGCTGAGATCTGAGGATCACAGTTCAAACCCAGCCCAAGCAGGAACGTCCTAACCACCAGAAAACCAGAAGTAGAGCTGTAGACCGGAAGTGGTAGAGCACTTGCCTTAAACAGAAAAGCTCAGGGACAGTACCCAGGCCAAGTTCAAGCTCCATGTCCAACCTCCCCTCCTCCCTGCCTTCTCCACCCCTACCACCAAAAAAATAAAAAATACTAGGCAACCAACACCAGTATCTCCCTCCATAACTAGCAGTCGTAGTCAGATACTCTTTAATTCCATCTGTCAAATTTACCAAGTCTTTTCTGGTTATTTGATATAACATTTAAAAACAAACATGCATACATACAATAGATGAGGTGTCTTAATTTATGGACACTCTTCCAGCCCAGTATTATTAAGCTTTGAATTGCTGTGTCAGCTCTGTGGGAGGTAAGGGCGCCCTTACCTCTCTACGTATGTCATGTCCAAAGAGCAGTTCTTGGCCGCCCCCGCCCCCCGCCCCTCACAGTGCTACCTTTCTAAACTCTCTGCCCCAAAATCCTCCCCCCCTCAATTCTGAGGTCCAGCTCAGACACAACCTCCTTTTTGAACTAGAATGACCCATTTCTGCTCCATTTCAAACCAAGTAGGAATTAAGTACACAGCTCATGCTACTAGAGTCCGTGGGGGTTAACAAATCATTCTACAGGAAGAACTTACAAAGTTTCTATTTGCATATGCTGTTGACCATAATAAGCACATTTACATTAGGTAGCTGTACTAGGTTCAATGCACTCCTCAAAATACAGGCACACCTCCAAGTGTAACCTGCTTTGGAAATGCAGCCTTTGTAGATGAGGTTACACTAGATTGGGGAAAGTTCTAAATCCAATGACGTGTGTCCACAGAAGGCAATATAAAGACACAGAGGAGTAAGACAGAGGCAGAATTTTTGGTTAATTCCTAGGTATTTTATTCTTTGTGGGGCTATTACGAATGGAGTTGCTTTCCTGATTTCAGCCACACTTTTCTCATTGTTGGCATACAGAAAAGCCATTGATTTTTGAGGGTTAATTTTATACCCTGCTACTTTGCCAAAGTTTTGAATCAGCTTGAGTAATTTGGGAGTGGAGTCCGTGGGATTCTTTAAATACAAGATCATGTCATCTGCAAAGAGGGAGAATTTTACTTATCTTTCCCTATTTGGATCCCTTTTATGTTTTACCTTGTCTAATTGCTGTAGCTAGGCATTCTAATGCTACATTGAAGAGACGTGGAGAGAGTGGACATCCTTGTCTCGTTCCTGAGTTAAGAGGAAATGGCTTTAGTTTTTCACCGTTAAGTATAATGCTGGCTATAGGTTTGTCATATATAGCCTTTATTGTATTGAGGAATTTTCCATAGATTCCTAATTTTTCCATAACCTTCATCATAAACGGGCGTTGGATCTTGTCAAATGTTTTTTCTACATCTATTGAGATAACCATGTGGTTCTTATCCTTGCTCTTGTTGATGTGTTCAACCACTTTGGAAAGTAGTATGGAGGTTACTCAAAAGACTCCACATAGAGCTCCCCTATAACCCAGCAATCCCACTTTTGGGCATTTACCCAAATGATCACAAACAAGACCACACTAAAGCTACCAGCACAACTATGTTTATTGCAGCATTATTTACCATAGCTAAGATATGGAACCAACCCAGATGCCCCTCAGTAGATGAATGGATCAAGAAAATGTGGTATATATACACAATGGAATTCTATGTCTCCATCAGAAAGAATGACATTGCCCCATTTGTTAGGAAATGGAAAGACTTGGAAAAAATTATATGACATGAAGTAAGCCAGGCCCAAAGAAACATAGTTCCCATGGTTTCCCTTATTTGTCTGAGACAAGCAGAAAAGGTCAGATAAGCTGATGTTAGGTGAAATGAACCCCAAATTAAGTATTCAAATGTTTTTTCTTTCATGCTATTGTTTCTAACATATTTATAAGATAATTTCTTTGTTGCTTTGTATGTCCCTCCCCCACGGTATAACCCCTGCTCTCACTCTATTTGATGTTGGTATAATTTGTGGAAGGGAAGGGCAAAAACAAATCGTTTAAATAGGGATACAGGTGGACCCATTGCAACAATGAGATGTACAAGTCGTTATGTCGAAAAACGAACTTTACAACTTTGGGGGAAGAGGGGGTAAGAGAGGGGGAAGGCAGGGGGGAGAGGAGAGGGGGAGATGGGAAAGGATGGGAAGGGGAAAAAAGGAGGAGGCAACAATGCTTGATAAGAAATGTACTCTTGCGGCTGGGAAGTTGGCTCAGTGGTAGAGCGCTCACCTTGCATACTTAAGGCCCTGGGTTCCATTCCTCAGCACCACATAAGCAGAAAAAAAAGCCCGAAGTGGCGCTGTGGCTCAAGTGGTAGAGTGCTAGCCTTGAGCTGAGGGACAGCGCCCAGGCCAAGAGTTCAAGCCCCACGACCAGACACCCCCCCCAAAAGAAAGAAATGTACTCTTGCCCCAGAAGGCCGACTCTTCTCGTGTATATGCAAATAAACTGTTACTCACTTGTCCCATCCAAAAAAAAAAAAAAAAAAAAGAAATGTACTCATTATTGTGCCCATGTAATTGTAACCCCCCCCCCCCCAAAAAGACAGAGGCAGAAATTAGTAGTGATACAGGTGCACACAATTCTGCCAGCAATTCCTACAAGTGGGGAAGAGGAAAAGAAAGGTCCTTCCAGCACCAGTTTTCTGGTGGCTAATTGGTTAATTAACCAGGGTAATTTCCTGCCTGGGCTGGTTTGTTTGTTTGTTGGTCGGTCATGGGGGCTTGAACTCTGGGCTTGGCACTGTCCCTGCGCTCTTCAGCTCAAGGTGAGTGCTCTAGAACCTCTTGAGCCACAGCACCACTTCCAGTTTTGAGTAATTTATTGGAGAAAAGAGTCTCACAGACTTTCCTGCCTGGGCCGACTTTGAACCATGATCCTCAGATCTCAGCCTACTGAGTAGCCAGGATTATAGGCATGAGCCACCAGCGCCCAGCCCTAGGCTGGTTTTGAACCATGACCCTCAGATCTCAGACTCCGAATAGCTAGGACTATAGGTATGAGCCACCAGAGATGGGCTCGTGTTGTTTTATGCTACCTGTTTGTTACAACAGACCTAAGTAAGACCATAGTAAGAAACCAATAAACTTAAGCAGACAGGTTCATTTTATCTTTCAGTCAGACCCAAAAGATAAAAATTAAATGAACAATCAAATTAAATGACACGTTTGAACACCTCATGCCATTAGGATTCATGACTGGGGAGGGGGGGTTGAAATCACAAGATACTTTACAGAGATAACTTTACAGAGATAAATTACAGATAATTTACAGACTTTAACTTAAACATGTATGAGAGAAGCCTAGGGCACAGAGCACACCAAGGATTGGACTAGAGACCAAGGAGGATCACCTCAGCTTGGGTTGGGAGGACCAGGAGAAGGAAGTCCTGCCACAAGAACCCAAAAGGTTCTGGAGTGTGTCTGCTGCCAGACCAGAAAATAACTACGATTGAGCCAGGAGCTAGTGGCTCATGCTTGGAATCCTAGATACACAGGAAAACTGAGATCTAGGAGTCACAGTTCAAAGCCAGCCTAACCACCAAAAAAGCCAGAAGTGGCCTGTGGCTCACATGGTAGAACACTGCCTTGAGCAAAAAAGCTCAGGGACAGCACCCAAGCCCTGGGTTCAAACCCCAAGCCCAACAACCTACCAAATATATGAAGTTGGGC